CTGAATGACATTAAAAACAACAAATATCATGTTGGATATGTTGATGAAAAGACCCACGTCCATATCCAAATTCTACACTTCATATTCATCCCCTTCTCTCTGTACATGCTAGATCAAGTGAGCAATTCATTTGATATGAGCTACGTTATTGATGTCTCATTTTGTCCTATTCCAGAGATTTGGAAGAGCTCAATGTAAGATCACGTATACTGAGCAGTACATGTAAGCGGTGATGGAGCTGCTACAAATATATGGGACAGGACAAAGCAAAATTATTAGGCGATATAAAGTTGCCACACACCGCACATCTAGTTGTGAGGGATCAAAATCATTCTATATAAGCCAGAATAATCCGACTAAATTGGTATTAAGCGGTCAAGATTCCACTCAGTCAGGCAAAGCATAGATAGGATATGGGAGTTAATACTTCCTTCATCAACACACATACGTTCACACATGCATCGACACTCTGGTTTCATCTGCTGGCCATGTGAACGTGGCAAGATGGCTGAAATTCTGTATTTGAACTTGGCATTATTATTTTATAACGTTTCGAAAAACTTTATCAAGCCTAGACTGAGTACTGATGTAACCATCAATGAGATGAGCTGAGACTGAGCCTTAGCAGTGAGCAGTAGCATCCAACGACAAACATCAGCAATGACATAATTCTGGTTGTACCGCTAAGACTGAGACAAACATGCCAGTGCATTGATCCTGTTCATTTAAAGAAATACTTTATTATTGTGTAAAAGAAGAATGACATATTTAGAACGATAGGAAGCTTCAAGGAATAAGGAGAAAATAGTGTGAGGTGATTTGCGTAGGCACGCAATTGGGCGGAGGTTTGAATTTAATTAGATAATGTTGACATTCATTTGTACTGTACCAGAACCAATGCCTCCTACCTGAAGAAATATCCAGAAGGATATGTAGTAAACTTGACCAGCTGTCGCATTAAATGTCTGTTCGAGCGAAACCGTCGCCCCATTACATGTGTCACTAAAGCATTTGCCAGAGTGACAGCCACTAGATACTAGACCAACAGTTGATCCACATGAGCTAGACGAATTCGTCGTCCAACCACGAAGTGTAGAATTACTTTCAAAGTTGCCATTGATAAGTTTGTCGTTGGAGCTTGCATCATAAATCGACACATCATCAACATACCAACTGTTTTGATTATTAGCGATAAAAATGAATTGTAATGTAGATGTTCCGGTGTTCGATGAAGAAAATGAGAAATTATAAGACGACCAAACATTATTCGATATAGAAGTACGAGAGAAAGATCCTAGTTGAGGATTCTGTGTTGTGGTAGTTGTGCTGGCTAAAATGAAGACAACAATCATAGTGTAATAAGAATAGATGTAAAATAAAGAAGCTAAGCTCACTCGTTGTAATGGACGCCGTACCTATAGCAGAGATTTGAAAAATTAATACTAGCGTACATCTAAAGAAAACTACATACTCGTGCTGGTCGTTGACGTCGAACTCGATGAGGTTGTTGCTAGAGAAAATATAATCAGTTGTTTTAATTTGAGTTTGCAGAAGGTCAATACGAAAAAACTCGTATAATGTTATTTTTTTTTTAAGAATGCGTTTCTGTTACAAGAAGGATAGTTGGAAATGAAGTAGAAGATAATCAAGACATCTTGTGAATTTTGCATTTTGAAGAACAATTGGATACATTACCCATTGCTTATCACTCGCAGCAATATAGCTCATGTTCGAATAGAATTGGCTTATAATATAACTGCTATTTCGGTTGTAGTGTCATATCCTCAATTCGATACCTACTACCGATGTACTCTGATTAGTTTTAATTTGAAATCAACAATGATTCATCTGTAATATTGACTGAAGCAGACGTCAATTACGATTTCACACATTGGTTTTTAAGGAAATCACATCACTATAGAGCTACTCCATACCATAACAATGTTGATATTTTGTCAAGAATAGCGGTTCATTACACCATTATTGGAGCAATCATATTTTCAAAAAATAACTATATGCGTATGCTAAGGTTGAAATGAACCACAAATCTAGCACACACACGTCCTTTGAAATAACTTTGGACTTGTTGACCCTCTGCTAGTTATTTCAAAAAGTTTTCGAATAAACGCGGTCATACACAAAGGTAATTACGACCAGCTCTGTCACCAATTTGCTTTGAAAATCTCAATCGATTGACATGAAATTTCTGCTACTAACTACAGTCGACGAGTTAATATTCAGAATACCAAATCAAGCTCAATGGAGTCCGAAATTGATGAACTGTGAACTGAACATTTTCTCCATCTTGAAGCATCCATATCTCAACCGTCTCCAGATACATCTTGCCGTGCAACGTCTCATTCGAAACTCTCATCTCTATGCTTTCTCTGCTAATAATTGCATGAGAACCAGTTGAAAATTTGCGGAAATGTGATTATCATACGGACAACTACTACAATTGAGAAAACTATGCTTTTTAATTCTGTTCTTTCTAACTCGGAATACTGTTGACGACTTTGTCTTGAATTTTTTCTGAACATTTCTATACGGTTCAGAGTGAACGATACAAGTTTCAGGATGATTACTCTTAATAGATTGAAACCAATCATTTAAAATAAATATATCAAAATATACGTCATCGCTCACTCGAATTTCATTGAATTCGGGCGTTCTCTTCAGAAAAGAAGGTTCATTTTCGTGCAATCAAAACCACTAAACGTCTCAGTAAGAAATTATCAAGAAATCTTCGGCAAACATTTTTTTAAAGCGAATTTAGGTTGATTTGTTGAAACATAATTCTATAGAATTATATATAAAATTCTCTTGTAACATCAGTTGAGCAGTTTAGAGTCACATATTCAGTCTTAGCTTGAGATGATCATGAAAATAGAAAATTATACAAAAGATAAGGAATCTCCAGACAAATCATTCAAAGTTCTTCCTGAAAGATACAGCAAGAGTGCTTTACCTACATATGAGTACTAGTTGATTGGTCTAAGTGTCAATTCATGTGAACGCATGACTATATATCACGGAAGAGCGAGTCAAGAAAAGACAAATAATTCTATTGGTTGTTCTAATCTACCATCAAAATGGTAACTCGGAATTGATCAACTGAGGTTACACGAGGATTTTATATATAACTCTACACAATTACGTTTCAACACAATAAACTAAATTCGGTTTAAATTTTCTTTTCCAAGATTTCTTGATAGGTTACTACTGAAACTTGTTAGTGGCGTTGATTACATGAACAATCAACCTTCTTTTCTGAAGAGAACGCCCGCATCCGACGAAATTCCAGAGACCGATGACGTATACATTGATATATTCGTTTTAGACGATTAGTTTTAACTTTTTGAGGACGACGAGACATACATTGTCCCACCTATTTTCCACTGGAGAAAATGTTTACAATCAATCAAAGTGTTATAAACTGTAAGGTAACAGGTCGTCTCATCTGTTTTTTCATATATATACTTTCTCTTTCTTTCTGCTACTGAACACTGATTCAAGACTCCACCTTCTCTTTTTTTTGATGCAGTACCATCAGGTTTTTATGCAATCATTTCGACCCAAACGCAATAAACTGATTGAAGAACAAGTTTGCCATAGAAAAAAAACCGTCCTGAAAGGGTTAATGGGCGAAAAAACTGTTTGGAATGGATTTCCTGTGCGCTCTCATAAAGCTCTTTCACAAATCTAATATTTCATTTAACTACTGCGTTTAATTTAAGAAAGACTCTTGGATTTCACAGGTTCAACTTCATGAAGTATTTCGAAAGTCTACCTATAGACTCTCATTCTTGATCGTCAGCAATGATCAATTAACTTGTTATAAACTTCTAAAAGTGACTTGATACAGTGTGAGTATTGAGTCAACAATAATAATTGAATCAATATTCTGTACATTCTCTCTGAAGTATTGACTTACATGAGCTTGTAGATGTTGTAGTAGTCGTAGTAGTGGTGGTGGCTAGAATTAAAGCGAAAAGCATTAGATCTGAACGCTAAATATCACATTCATCCATATTTTACTTGATGTCGTGCTTGTGGTTGAAGTACCTAGAAGAACATAGTCATTTGAGAGATGATGGGAAACAATGCAGAATTAAAACAAACTTTTCACGGAAAACCGATCAATAATTTTTCAACGGGTTCTCTCCAAATCATGCACTAGTTATGTTGAAAATATAGGTAACTCTAAGAGCTCATCAAATCCACATCGAGCTGTTCAACATGTCATAGTGCATGACCGATCAAATTCATAATTATCTGGTGGATTTTAGCAATTACTAAGAGTGCGT